TTTAAAAAGCTAGGGGATTGCTGAACATTGTTTATTTTCTTTCTTGACATTGTTGTTACTGCCAAAGCTACAATCACATCTGATTTATTGGGTCTCTATACCTTTGGAGATAAAATATGAATGTTGAACTTCACCACATAAATTTGATGAAAATGGAAAAAATATACAGGCAGCAACAAGATTTGTAAAGAAGACAAAAAGGTTAGAAGAAGTACATAGTTTGATAGATGAAATCAATGTGCAGTCAGTGTGTTAAGGCAGGGTGGAACAAGTTGCTAGGGTGATATGCGTCTAAAAACCAGCTGACTTCCTCTGATTTTTCTACCGAAAATTGTTACATGATACCCTGATAACACATATTATATAAGAAAACATGTATCATATTCTTCTTGTACAGTACTTTGTCCTAATTTTTATTTGACAGTATGAGTAGAATCAAGATATCATAGTAAAAAAAAGAAGAGATAATTCCTGAACTTCAAATTAAGAAATACTTTTTTTTTTACAGAAAATAAAATGTCTAACTACTTTGTATGTTTAACTCCTTGAAAAAAAATTTAAACTACCTTTTAAATGTATTTTTATGTTTAACTACTTTTCAGCGTGGTCACAGTAGATATTTACCACAGTTATATGCAACGTATCCAACAGGAGCATTTCTCCTGTCCTTTCCATTGTGTTGCCTGTTGCCTTTTTTCTCTCACTGTAACTACCCTTAATTCTGGGGCATTTTAATGTCCATTATTGAGCATGATCATTTTCATATAATTTAATCCATTTACACATATGTGTTAGACAAAGTATAAGTCTTAGCAATAGACTGAAAAAGTAGTGTACTAGTGTAATGTAATATTGGTGTAGTGCAGACTCACAATAAAGTAATTTAATAAAGTTGTGTACTAGTGTAATGTAATATTGGTGTAATGCAGACTCACAATAAAGTAATTTAATAAAGTAGTGTACTAGTGTAATGTAATATTGGTGTAATGCACTCACAATAAAGTAATTTAATAAAGTAGTGTACTAGTGTAATGTAATATTGGTGTAATGCAGACTCACAATAAAGTAATTTAATACAGTAGTGTACTGATATAATGTCGGTGAAACCACATGCTACCCTTCTCTTTACTAGCTTTCCTCTTCCACAATGTATTTATTCACATTATCATGAAGCTATTTTCTTCAAACAGGAAAACTCAAATGAAACTGATAAAAGCCGTCTCCAGAGAGATGTAGTTTGTGACAGGGCTCTAAATCATACCACGTTTTTCTATGTTTGAATTTCACACAGAAAGAAAAATACATTGTGCGTCGTAAAACTTGTAGACTGATCACTTTTGACAATTATCATAAACACAATTGCATCAATCTTAAAATTAATTAAATATGCACTATATTACATTGACTGAAGATGCACTCACATTTGTTATTTTGCCGTTTGTTTTCTTTACAAACGTTGACCACATACCCCGCTTAAAAAGTCCCATGATTTGAGTAAGAAACTAGTTTCAACTTTGAAAAAGGAAGGGAAAAAAGGTTTTGGATCTAATCGGCTTGTTTATACTCGTTTGCTTCAATTGGAATTTAATGGGAAAGGGAGAGTTAATTCAAATGGAATGCCATTATCCCAATTAAAAGTAATTGTCCAGCAATTCTCCATGGAATTCCAGTCCTTACCCCTAACAGTCATGCAGAATGCTCCTATTAAAGCCGCATAGGGCACCTGGACTGACAACATATGGCATATAGGAGGTGGAAGCAGAGCCTTTGCTGGATATTCATAAATAAAGATGAGAAAACAACAGCTGGAAGAAAGAGTGCAAAGTGTGACCCACAAATAGACACTGACTAATACAATACAGCTGAAACACTGGGGGTAACAATTAGCTGAAACACTGGGGGTAACAATTAGCTGAAACGAATCAGATAAATGAAACTTGCTCTAAAGTACTGTATTTTTGACTCTCTGGGTTGCCGTATAGCACTTACATTAGCTCATCACTAGTAACGTCAAATAACCACTTCATAATCAAAGATATTCCAGCTGAGAATTAAATCATTGACAACATATTTGAAATATCATTATAATCAGATCCCACAGAATCCTACAAGTTCTGAAAATAGGAGCAATTTGGAGATATGAAGAAAAAGCACTTTTGTCAAGGTTATCATAGTGTAAGCTTGCAAGAAAGGCATTTCACTCTACTGTACACAAGACATTAAAAACCCTGTAATATAGGGGGGACTTCCAATGTCCGCCACTGACCACTTTACGTTACGTTAACAAAGATCCTGTAATTCTGTCAGTACAGAAGAACCCACACAATGAGAGAAACAATTCAGCCAACTCTGAGCATTATTGTTCTGTTAGAGACAAACAACAAATTATGTATAGTAGAAATATTGAGTAGTGGATAAGGAATCAACTCAAGCCTTCTCTGGAAGCAAAAAATTATCACAACTTGGGGTTTCTAGATGGAGTACTTCTTGTTTCGTGTAAGACAATGAGGAACCCGAGCGCATAATACTATCTCCATCACTATTACCACTGTATCTAGTGTCTATGGTGCATGAACTTTGGTCGACATTGCTTCAAAACAGACATGCTTCAAATCAGATAATTCACATTACAAGTGACAATTGTTTCAACGTGCATACAAACTACGGTTCTTTAAGGAGTGTAACAAAGTTAAAAACAGGATGTAACAGAACACACTACCAAATATGATGAGGTAGAAAGAGTATAACACACAAGCTAAAACCCAATGGAACTTTTTTCACTAGAACTTAGATGATGCTCTACTGCTACATAAACTTGCCAGGATAAGCGTGCACAAACACATCAAGACAGACTGTTTGCCCAGTAGAGCACTCAAACCTCTTCCATCATCACACTATACACACTTTGAAGTTTGGTCTGGCACAAACACATATATGCATAGAAACACACACACACACACACTCTGCCCAGAATGCAGCCCTACCGTGCAGTGGTTCCGTAGTTCTGTGGGGGTCTGTGTCAGGGTGGTACTTACCACCGTCCCTCTGAAGAACACATACAGACACTCCCCCTACACCCCTGCTGGAGTTTATTACACCCTCTTTCTCTGCTCTCTCTCTCTTTTCTTCTCTCTCTCCTATACACAATCATTTACATTTACATTTTAGTCATTTAGCAGATGCTCTCATCCAGAGCGACTTACAGTTGGTGAGTGCATAATTTTTTTTTTTTTTCATACTGGCCCCCCGTGGGAATCGAACCCACAACCCTGGCTTTGCAAGCGCCATGCTCTACCAACTGAGCTACGCAGGACTATCATGTTGTCTAAATGCTTACATCCTTTTTACTAATTTTAAATCTATGTGGGAAAAAGTTGCAGTATATATATGGACACGTGTACAATTCATTTTTTGGGGGACAACCTAGATAAAGTTCCAGACATCTGTTAGCTGCACCACTATCTGCCTGTCATCACTGGACTACAATCTATGCTGCTCATCAGTTATGGAATATTGAAGATAATAACTGGTGGATGATTGACCAAGGCCTTTGTTGGTCTCACCTGACAGAGCCCCTCTCTGTGTTGTTTTAACACAAGCAGTCAAAGCATCCCCTAGTCCTCATGCTTAACTAGAGAATTGGTTTACAAGACAGCGTAGGAAGACATCTAAGAGTGACATTATGAGCGGTTTGCAGAGCTAATGTGCTTATCAAGATTTATTTGGCAGTGGTGAAGGGTTTCTCTGAAGGAGCTGTCACTCTCAACCGGACCGTATCCTCCTTCCCCATTGACCTGTTGGCTCCCTCTTCCCCCATTTGCAATGGTTGTCTCATTCCACCTGGTAAAATGATTGCATGGTTTCACAAACATCTCCAGCCAAAAAGAGGAGTTGAGTTGTAGGCTACGCATTCCTCTCAAAATAACCAAATATTGTAAACAAAAAGTGAATAATGTCATGATGTAGTGGGGAGAGTTAGTTTTAAGTATTGACTGAACAGCATTGCACGTTACACAGCAACGCAGAAGAACAACAAATAACCAGTCCAAATGCATCTTTAATCTCACTCAGCTCTCCGAACTAAAAATAACAAGCCAATCACCAAGCGGTAGGAAGTAGTGTGCGATAGGAACCCATACGCTGAACAACAGATTGAAGGATAGTGTGCTTATCCCCTGGGAAAATCAACAACACCCAACACACACACTAGCAAACAAGACAATAAAACAAGCACTTACAGGAAGCATATCGGAACTACTACTGCCATTGTGCTGTTTGCCATTTGATTTGGCCCACCTTGCGCCCTTCCCAAACAAAGTTCACTCTAAAAGCCAGACCTATAGGAAGTCATCAGGTACCTGCAGTCTAAAAGGCCTCTGCTGCATCTGTCTAAAACCCAATCAACTAACACATCCAGATCAGGTGGAAAACATCCAGATAAAGAAATGTTTGGAAAATGTCAAGTGTGCCATGCCAAGTAGGTGCACTCCCTCTTCTTGCCCCACCTTCTCCCGGTCTGAACTAGGCAGATCAGGTATGGATACCTAACCTCGCCCTGCTGGCTAGAAGATAGCAATGCTATCTATTGTTTAATTTCTAAAAGGTCTACTTCATGTAATTTATCCATTATGATTCCATTCATTTATGGTTACTGAGGCCACTTGACCTCCTGTTGACTTGAGGATAAGCATCTTAACCTTTGACCTATTTAAAAGTGTGTTGTGTTTCCTCTGACTAAATGTGGTTCCCACATACAAATAAGTTATATTGGGTCTTGAGCAACCCCAGCTAGCTTGGTGACACTG